TGGGACGAAACAGCTGTCCTGTGCTACAAGGTTTTACACTATAAGCTTGTGGAGATCGTGATCGAATCCTGAGAGCAGCAGGAGTTGTGGATGCGCGTTGCCACTGATGAGCTAATCCAACATGCTAGGATGGTGGTCTAACAATGAATGATTGGTTGATTTATAATTTCAAATATGTACATACACCAGCCAACTCAATTCATTTTCCAGACATACAATCAACTGAAAGAGATCACTTCTCTAATTTTATCTTTATCGTCTTTTGAATTTTAATTAAAATAAATTGAATTAAATGTAAATTTATTGTCTATACTTTTGTTTTATTCTTCTTCACTTCCTTCTTTATTTCTTCGATATCATTTATTAAGAAAAATGCGTGTACAAACAAATTACTGTAAAACATTTTTTTTAAATGGTTAACCATTTAATAATGATTGATTGATCTTTTTAGTATGAGAAAGTAATAGATGAGTACTTAATTCCTTTATGTAAACATGATGTATGTTAGAGGTAGAATTATATGTACTCTAAGTTTAAATTGAATATATTAGTGTTAAAAACGGGAAACATACTCATTTGGAATTAATAAGTAAGCATCCGACCGTAGCTGAAACCTTGACTTAATGGTCGTCAAGCTTGTCTATTGTCATAACCCAACCAAACTATATCGGATGGAACATATGTTCCTCTCGGTCCAACCATGCCAGGCAGGTCCATAAGAGGGCCGTACGACTGATAGCAGCAACTCAAGATTTGAGGGCGAAGTTGTACTGCTGGCTGTAGAGGAGGAGTGTGACTGTAGTAAGTTGTTTCTCTTCTTACAAGGAAGGAAGGGGTTAGGAAAGGTTGATCTTAAGAATGTCACAACTAACCCTACCTCAGGGAATCCGTCTTCGGCAGTAAGGCCTTTTAAAAAAAAGCAGAGCTAAAACTTTACAAGCTTCTCATAAAAAGGCCGTGGGTGACCACCCTCAAACAGTCGTCTCTTGAACTCTGCGGTTACGCTCTCAGGTAGTTAAGATCAACAGTAATTCAACTTCCTTTTCAGGTTCCTCAAGAAACACCCTTCTAGAGTGTGGGCAACCGGGAACTGACATCCGTTCTCATACCCGTAACACCACACGAGACCTAATCGGTCACGCTGTAATTGACCGACTGACTGACTGATAATTCAACAATTCAGACATCAATTCAAAAAAATCCTATTTTTAAGCGGATGGTAAAATGAAATGTTACTGAAATACATATTTTTAAAAGTCATGATCCTTTAAATGGGACTGTATGATTACTTATACAGTTGAATGTCGGTTCAGAATGAATGAGATCTCAATCAATTTATCAGTAGTATAGTTTATTTTTTATCTCCACCTGGAGCTGTTCTGTTGTTACTGCCGTTCCTAAGCCTGCCTAAAGTAGGAATGTTCAACATGGGGTTAGCCACCCAACTCGCTAGAAAATCACTAACTAGAATAATAACTCGCTGGTAGCTGGCCTATCCTCCATTAGAGATAACAGACGTAAGTAAGTAAGTAAGTAAGTAAATAAGTAAGTAAGCAAGTAAGTAAGTAAGTAAGTAAGTAAGTAAATAAGTAAGTAAGTGAATAAATAAGTAAATAAGTAAGTATTGGTTTATTTTATTACACAACCTAACTTTCTGTAACCTGTATGCCCAGTATAAATAAATATTATTAGGTTTTAGTTTGATTTTATTATTAAGCCAACTGAATAACTTGACGTTTAGTAGAAATATAATATGATTTCGATCTTTTGTTATTTTGAAGCTGGTAATCTTTATCGCACAATGATCAACTACACAACTTCTAACAATTGATAGATACAAATTTGAATATCTCGAAGAATAAAGATACACATTATTGATGAATAAAAATTTTGATCTGTCATATTGAATATTGAACGCTAACAAATGTATTGAATAATCAAAAAAAAGTTCATCTTAATTTCAAATTTCCATTGAATCTTATATCAATAAAAATAAAATGTTCTTAGCTAATTTATTAATAAAAATGTGACCATTTGGTTTAAACATTCTTGTTTTAAACATTGAATGTTATTATTCCAATAAAAATTAGCTGATTCTTCATAATTTATGGATGTCGATTTGGATGCATTGATATCTAGATTAGATAGTTTAAAAACATTTTAACTCACCAGTATTAACTAATAATAAAACACTGTTATTGTCGGATGAGAGACAGTTATCCATTAAAGACACTGGATGAAGTGTTGGGGACGTTAGATCCCCAGAACTCGCTTGATCAATGTCTTTATTTTGGATTTTGTGTTTTCGTGTATGGGCTGATCAGTTGAACTTGAGATCACATTTCCCACTAGGAAAATCCTTGGCTGTTATTGGTTGGTGTGTTATTTTAGTATGTTATTCTTGTGACTGTCCCAGGGACGTTTCTATGATGTATAAAATAAATGAGATTTGTGTGCTTGCTCGGTATTTGTAGAATATGTTTTTTATACCATATCAAAACTTTTTCTTCAGTTCCTTTGGGGCAGCGGATCAGAGTAGTCTACCGTGTCGCTATGTCATTGTCTCGTTCACGTTTATCGACTAAGGTGAACTCGTAATAGTTTCAAGCATATCAAGTGACCAGCATAACATGAAGGTTGTGTGATATCAAGGGCTGATGAAAATTAAACAGTAGCACAGTTGTAGTATTTAAAGACTATACATTTACGCACGGGACCGTAGGTCTTCGGTTACATTCCAGCTTTCAGGGGACGTGAATGCACAAGGCTGATGAGGCAGTCCCATATATTAAGACAAAAATGTCGTCCAGTGCCTCAAGGTTTCCAATGTTGGTTAGGGTTAGATCAATAACGAAAAGAAAGACAGTTTTTTTTATTGGGTAACTCGATGTCAATATCACACTGTACGATATCATAATTGTTAAACTTTCCAACTGTTTAATGATCAGAGTTTTATGTTGAATATTTAAAAGAAAAATAAATTGAACATCTTGAATCATAACTAATCCTATTGAAAATAATTAGCAGTTTTCAAAAGTATTTCAATCATAGTTGAATTCTTTTATTTCAATGCCGAAATATTCAACATCCAATTTAAGAATCAATATTGATTTCATTTTATTTACAAACCATGTTCTGTCTAAATTTCTTTGACTAGTTAAACAGAAGACACGACGCGGAAATTTTACATAGATTACAATCTCGATTTACTTCATGCTAATCGGAGTTTTTCTAGGATTACTGCCGTTCTTAAGCCCGGACACAGGAGGAGCGCTGAACATGAGGTTAGTAACCTCATTCCATCAGTCATTCATTCAGTTGCGATGTAAAACTTCATACTTGCGTACAACAGTTCAGGTTGGCATACCGCATTAGCACAGAGAGGCAAAAGTCGGTTCGAATCGCATAGTGGTAAAGATAGTAGAATTATTAGCGGTAATGAAGAAGATTAGGGTTCGATGACATTATTCAGGAAATATAATTCAGTGATATAACTTTAGAAAGAGAAAGATAAAGGTGATGATGGATTCTTAAGATTAAAATTTCAGAGATCACAAAGAGTGGATACGTTTGCGCCAGGGCAAACGATTTTAAGCCATATCGTTTAAGACCTCTAACCGTCGGATATTGTCGTTTCACGGACCCCAATTCGGTAGTCTACATCTACCAACATGATTCAGTCCACTTTTCAATGACTTCATGGATTTTTGCCGTGTTCTGGTTTGGCCACCCTATAGCCTTCTACCAACCTACTCCTACAGCACAAAACATCGCTCATCGACGCAGTTGATGATGAAGTTTCAATTTTTTCGTAGAAAACCAATTTTTTAAATAACCGCTAACCAGGAAAAAGCAATTGGAATTAGCCAAATTTGTCAGGAACTCCGCCTAGAAAGGAATCCATGTAAGAAAGTTTCAGGTGGGTAGGTTAATACACATTAATAAAATCACCATACCACTTCACAAGACCAGCCTTAATTTTGAATTCCCACTGTAAAAAGAAAACATGCAAAACAAAGAACACGTTTCACCGTGAATCAGTTTTAAATACCGAAGGAATAAATAGTATTTGAACAGCTTCAGGATTGCTGATCGTCGACAAACTCTACTTCACAAGAAGTTTCTACAGTAAATAATAATTATTAATTAAATTAACCTTTTCAGTTAGTAATAATAATAATAACATTTTTGAAGAGTTCCGATTTTCAACATGATTACTTTCTCTTTCATCTTTCATAAAATGACCCTCAACTTATCATCAGTTCAAATTATTTTACCTGTAAAATTTATTTTTAATAAAACAACAACAAAAAACAACTAATCAAATTACTTAATTAAAAATAATTAAATTTCCAGTTGAAAGCATCAGTGACCCGCCACAAAAAAATAATAAAACACATTACAACATTCATTATTTTCTTGTTAGTGAAAAGTCTGAATAAAAAAGCATATTTCTATGCTAGTTTTCTAAAATTTATACCATACACATCATTCAGTATGATTTACTATTTTCAAACTAATTCAACCTATGCAAATTACGTTTATCCTCTCAAAAATCAACCAATCAGAGTTATGATCAAATTTCATTAGTTTATCAATGATGAGCAAATTTTGTACGATAAAGTAAAAGGTTAGTTTGTTAGTGATTATTACTATTACTAGGGGTAGTACTACTACTGACACTACTACTACTCATACTACCGTTGCTGTTACTACTACTATTACTCCCACTATTCACACTAATACTACCACTACTATTCAAACTACTATTACCACTAGTCACATTACTACTACTACTCACACTACTACCACTACTACTACCCCCACTACTACTACTACTACTACTACTCTCACTACTACTACTCACACTGCTACTACCCCCACTACTACTACTACTACTACTACTCCCACTACTACAATTGTTAACAAAATGACAAGCAGTTTATTCCATTTGTAAAAGAAACTCTTTTGGATTTCGTATATTGTAAAAGCAAGCACAAATGTATTTGGTACATTTAAACAAGCAACAAATTATCTATCCATTTAAAACAAATTGTTACATTTATTTCAAAAAATTACCAATAATATTAATGATACATATCATTTACATGTCAATATGGAATATAAACACGGTCAGATGTAGTAGCAGTAGTAGTAGTAGTAGTAGTAGTAATCATGAAAGAGGAATAAAAAAATTACGTTTACAAAGTTTAGATATTGGTAAGTAAGTAGTATGTACATTTTCATAAGTGTGTAGAAATAATTTTTTAGATTTTTTTTTCTTATTACGTTCTTATGTTCAAGTATGAGTATGAGGGAGGATGTTACTTCCCGGTTGTGCACACCGTGGAAGTATTCTGGTTGTCAGAAGGGGCATCGGCCTTAGACAATGGACAGCTTTGGATTATGTTTATTTGAAAAAAAAGGAAACTGGAAGTAACTTATATGTACCTTGAATTCATTTCAACTGCTAGAGTTGCGTAATTGAAATTCAGTACAAAAAGGTAGCTCTGTCTGCTTGTCTAGTCCTGTTATTTTTAAATGAATAAAAGGTGGGAAAGATACCTAATTTTCTCATTGCGTCACTCCATCAGAGAATTACATAAATGGATTAAATTAACTCAAGTTTAAGTGGTACAAAAGAATAGAACAAGAATATCTAGTACAATCAGTCAATAAAAAAAATTAGGCTTGAATCATTAAGCTTCATGTCACTCCGGTCAAGATGATTCATCTAAAATATGTGACATTTTGTAATGTGAAGCGATAGAGTTGAGCTTTTATGTATGATAATAATGTGAGCTGTGAATAAAATCAGACATTGTCGCTTGGATAGAGATGGTCCAAGTCGGTTCGATAGTAAGGTCTTGTTTTCGAATGAGGGAAGCAGGATTTAGCATTAAGTGAAGAGCTTTAGTTACTCGACCGTGTTTGCAGCTGGAAAATTCGTTTTGTATTCGTTTCTAATATCGACTTGATAGTTACTGACGATGGTATGTGCTGCCAAAACTGACTTAATTTGGAATATTTCAAGCTCTTCAGGTAGTTTCTTTGTGTACCTCATGTGTTCTTTGGCTTGAATCAAGATTTTGCATGAGATGACTCTCTCCAAAACATAACACGAGTCACAAACTACCCACAGTTGTTTTGGGACCCACAGGACGCTTCAGGGATTTTATCCTTCTTTATACGAATTAAAACGTTTCAAAATGTTAGTTTTATAGTGTAATATGCTTTAATTTTGTGTTTATTGTAAGACTCTTTGGAGGACTTCTATTCTGCTATGGCTATTTGGTAAAACTACGGTGTTTATCAGCAGTGAATTATTTTTCCTTACATCACATTTTCAATAGCATTCATAGGAAAATTAATAAATTGTATGATGTCAGATATAAGTTTTGGTTCTTGTTGGTTATCCCCTTCAGACGTTATCATCTTAGTCAGTCCTCTTAATAGATTTAAGTCTAGAGAGATGTTGGCACCGAATGGATGTACTGAGTTGAAGTCAATGTAACTAGTTAAGTGTATTGGCTTTCAGTATTTACATAGATTTAGATTTCTGATTTGAAGTGTTTTAACTAATCAATCTAAACATCATAGCTCTTTCTATGTTCGTAGTCATTCTTGTGGTCTAAGAGCGTACTGATCAGTTTGGAGGAAATTCATGGAAAAGTCTTTTATATAACAACAAAAGTATCATTCACAATTCTAATGTCAATGGCGAAAATATGGGATTCGGTATCACCTTATATTTATTCATTGATTACTGTTATCAATAATTCATTCAATGTTCAATTTATTTGAAATTATCAAGTCAAAACATGATAATAACACCTATGTTTCTGTTTGTTAAAATATTCCATCTACTTAGTATAATATCTTCCTGATTGATTGATGACATGAACTGATTGTGTAGATATGTTGGGTACTGAATCAAGTGTTATATCAATCACATGAAGAATCCTTTAAGGCATTAAAAAATATCTCTGTTTCAGAGTGGAACAATACTGTTTACTTTGAGTTTATTATTCACAGAAGCTCTTTTCTGAAGTATTGACAGACGGTTAATCTCAATAATCTATTACTTAGTCACTTACTTACTCTCTCCTGTAACCCCTAATAGAGTATAGGCTGCTGACCAGCGTTCTCCAACCTACTCCGTCCTGGGTCTTCATAAATATGTTACATCAGTAACTATTGTTAATCTTTAATCTTATATACAAAGAATTGATAGAAAGTGGATATAAGTCGAATACACAACTCACGATTCGCCCTACTTGAAACATGTCTTTGGCTGGATGTACCTGCATACACTCCGGGACTTGAATCCAGCACCGCTCGTTTCCAACGTCATCGTATTACGACACTCTGCTAGTGAGTTCAGATAACTAAGGGTAGGAGTTTGAACTCAATTTGAAATGGTTTCGAGTATCCAGTTATTGGTCATCATTTTGGTTGGTTGGTAAATAGCTATATCGAAGTTATCCACAAACAATGCATATATGTTAAACAAGATTGATCAAGTTTCAGACAAAAATATCTTTCACAAGTGAAACATTATAACAAACTTGAATTTGAACGTAATTAAGTGTAACAAGTGCTTAATGCTTTTTGTTTTATAAACTACTTTTATCCCAATACTTACATACGTAAAAAAAGTAGTTGAAAGAAAAACCGAATAAAATGTTAAATTATGTAGAGTAACAATAAAAACAAATTAGTCCATTATTGTTGGAACTAGTAATAGATGACTCGACTGTAGCTGCAACCTTGATTTGCTGCTCAACCGTGTCTATCATGATGACCTAAATGAGCTATATCGGATAGAATAAATATTCTTTTAGGTCCTACCGTGTCAGGCAGGTCGATTGGAGAACGGTAAGACTAAAAGCAGCAACTCAAATTTGAGGGCTGACTGTAGAAGAATGTAACAACAGTAACGTGTTTCCCTTGGATAGCCAGCATCTGCAACGATGCTATCTTCTTACAAGAAAGGAAGGGATTAGAAATGGTCGACTCTAAAGTTGTCACCCCTCACCTTACCTCACGAATTTCTGTCTCCGGCTATAAGGCCACTTGAGGAGAGGAGTTAACACTTTAAAAACTTCCAATAAAAAAGCCATGCGTGACCGGCCTCAATCAATTATCTCTTCGGCTCTGTGATCAGGCACCCAGGTCTCTCAGACCAACCCAAGTCTACCTTCTTTTCCAGGCTTCACAGGAAATAACGCTTCACGGTGTGGACAGTCACTAAGTGACATCTGCACTCATACACGTAAAAGCATACGACGCCAAATCTGTCACAGTCAAATCTTTACCAAACCCCCTAACATCTCTCTTATCTCCAAGACTGACCCTTCTCACACTCCTTCATCACCCCGCACCGCCAATGCAAACGATGTGAGTTCATGTAACGTTATTCCCGGTCTCCTGAAACCTCGTTCTGTGCTATATATTGGAGCTTTTAATGTTCAGATATTGTGTCAAATATGAAGGACAACAAGCTTTCTTTGCTAGGACTTTAGGATCTTGAACCATCGATGTACGCTGCGTCTCGGAAACGCACTTACAGGATCCGATTAGCGTCATTCGTTTGATCTCATCATATCAAAGAACTAACTCTATTTATTATTCGTGTCCCTGAAAGCCCTGCTGCTGCTTCTTATGGCCTCGCTCGTGTAGTTATAGCACTGAGTCCTAGGGCAGAACTAGTTCTCTTATGTTTGCTTTGAACATATTTTCCATGTTGCTAGTTTGAACATAATTCCACCAAGTTCTTCAATTAAATATAACCAAATTACTACGAAAAATACTAAACTATAATAGTACATTATTAGCAGAGATGGAAAATGGCTAGAAGAGGGAGGAGGCAAGGAATGCACGTTTCTTACCATTTGGAACTCATCTTTAGCTTTATATACCTACATCTCAGAGTTCATGTCCACTCTGGGACTCGACTTCAGTACCTTTCGCATCGAATCACAATGAGCTATCTTCTTAGTAATCTTAACTATTAACGAAAAGATTCAAACACCCAATCCACATGGATCATCCTTTAACCCATGACACAGATGAGTGGCTTTCTGAATTCAGTAACTAAGTAAGTAATGAGATAGACCTTAAAGCGTAAGGAACTGGTTTAGAGTCTGGTTTTGAAGGTCAACTCTGAGATTCGGGCACATTCAAATAAGAAGTCTGGAATAACACATATAATCGAACAGATCATTCGCTAGTGAGACATCTAACGAAATTTCTTTTGTAGCGAATAGGCGTAAAACTACAAAAGTGAGTGTGTTGACAAGCAGAGGGATTTTTTCTGTACACGCTTCTACTTAGCGAGTCATCACTTTGCCTGCTTAGTGTGACGTCAAGGAAAGTTAGCTTTTTATCATACTCCAGTGGAAGTGATTACTGGGTGTAAACTGTAGAATTGTTCAAAGAGTAGGATGAAACGCTCCTCCTTTATTTCCCTGCTAGCCAACACAAATAAGTTGAAAGTTACATTATTTATGAAAATTATGCTTGAAATTAAACTCAGCGGTCGTGAATAATTTAAACAATAATTTCCACAATAAATGTCGTCTATTTATTCAATACTCGATTTCTGTCAAACCATTCATGAATATTTATATTTTGCATTTTAAATTATTCGGGAAACAAACACTTATTGGTTTAGTTAAACAAATTCAGTTTTTAAAAAAATTTTATCATTTTATATTCACAGAATAGAATTAACTTGTCTTTCGATAAATTACATTTATATTATAATATAAATATTTTTAACAACTCTTTTTTTAAAAAAAGTTTTGATGAACATTAATTTAACTTCATTTATTTCTAAATTCCTTGTTCACTATTTGATCAATATTCAATCGTTTTAAGATGATTTATCGATTCAATCGAAAATTGCACTTTACATTTCAGTTTTAATAAATGCATATTTTGTTTGTACATGTAAGTCTGTCCGGTGGTGGTGTTTCGTTCTCTGAGCTGGATGTTTTGGTTGTGAAGCTTTCAATACACACCGACAATCATGGACACACAGGTTTAAGGCCGACCGCAACCAATCAAGATTGAGGTTAACAGAACAAGCTACAGGTTAAACGTGGAGAAATTCGAATACTTCACTTCTTCTGTTTGAAGTTTGTGCTGATGATGTTTTATAGTAGAAGAACAATGATGAAAGCTTTACTACCGAAACAGCATTCAGCTCAGTGGTC